CCTTAACCCAGTCTTCATCTACCAAGGCATTTTCTGCTGAGAATTTTCTTCCCATTAAAAAAAAAATAAAAATTGGTAATAGCTGGAGGCCACAGAGCTTTTCAGACAAAAAAAGCTTTATTTTGACAGATGAATTTTCTCACTCCTTTTCCTGTTTTCTCACCTGTCCCAGTGGTGGGGCAGTCCTATATAAGGGACTAGGCTTGATGCTCACTTCCCTTTGCGAGCACCTTGTACTATATTTATATACAGAAAAATAAATATATATTTGTGAAGAGGAAGGTAAACCTGGGTTAGGAGAACTTCTCCAGGGCCTGCCTTTAGCTCTGCCAGGCAATTCAGACGAAGCTGGACAGCAAGCCTTGATTTCTGGTAAGTGCCTGATCACTATCCAGGACAAAATGTCTGTGTTCCCTGCAGAGACCAGAGGTAAAGAATAAACCTGAAGATCTAGTGTACCCTGGCAGCCAGGAGGGCAAACTGCATCCTGGGGTTCATCAAACACAGCATAACCAGCCAGGCACGAGGGGAGATTATCCTCTGTTCAGGGTTGGTGCAGCCTCACCTTGAGTGCTGTGTGCGGTTCTGGGCCCCACAATTTAAGAAGGATGTGAAGGTCCTTGAATGCATCCCGAGGAGGGCAACAAAGCTGGTGAAAGGGTTGGAGGGAATGTCCTCTGAGGAGCAGCTAGGGACTTCAAGCTTGTCCTTGAAAAGGAGGCTGAGGGGTGACCTCATTGCTCTCTACAGCTTCCTGAGGAGGGGAGGTGGAGAGGGAGGTACTGATCTCTTCTCCCTGGTACCCAGCGACTGGACGTGTGGGAGTGTCTCAAATCTGTGCCAGGGAAGGTTTAGACTGGACATTAGGAAGCATTTCTTTGCCAAGAGAGTGATCAGCCACTGGAACAGGCTTCCTAAAGAGGTAGGCGATGCCCCAAACCTCTCAGTGTTTAAGAGGCATTTGGATGATACCCTTATGACGTGTTTTAACATGTTCAGCCCTGAATTGTTCAGGCAGTTGGACTAGATGATCGTTGTAGGCCCCTTCCAACTGAAATATTCTATTCTACTTCTCCCCTTCCCTTCAGACACATTGAGCTGAAATCATATCATAGAATCATGGCCTGGGTTGAAAAGGACCTTAAAGATCATCTGGTTTCAACCCCCCTGCTGTGGGCAGGGTTGCCAACCACTAGAGCAGGCTGCCCAGGGCCCCATCCAGCCTGGCCTTGAATGCCTTCAGGGGGGCCATCCACAGCTTCTCTGGGCAACCTGTGCCAGTGCCTCACCACCCTCTGAGTGAAAAATTTCCTCCTAATATCTAACCTAAATCTGTTAGTTTAAAACCGTTCCCCCTCATCCTGTCACTATCAACCCCTGTAAATAGTTGCTCCCCCTCCTGTTTATAGGCTCCCTTCAAGTACTGGAAGGCCGCAATGAGGTCTCCCCGGAGCCTTCTCTTCTCCAAGCTAAACAAGCCCAGTTCCCTCCCTTCATAGGAGGGGTGCTCCAGCCCTCTGATCATCTTTGTGACCCTCCTCTGGACTTGTTCCAAGAGCTCCACGTTTCTTTTGTGCTGGGGGCCCCAGGCCTGGACACAATACCCCAGATGGGATCTCACAAGAGCCGAGTAGAGGGGCACAATCACCTCCCTCTCCCTGCTGACCACCCCTTTCTTAATGCAGCCCAGGACATAGTTGGCTTTGCGGGCTGCAAGTGCACACTGCTCGATCATGTCCAGCTTTTCGTCCACCAGGACCCCCAAGTCCTTCTCTGCAGGGCTGCTCTCAAGGAGTTCTTCTCCCAGTCTGTACAAGTACCTGGGATTGCCCTGGCCCAAGTGCAACACCTTGCTCTTGGCCTTGTTGAACCTCATTAGATTCTCCTGGGCCCACTCCTCCAGCCTGTCCAGGTCCCTCTGGATAGCATCCCTTCCCTCTGTTGTATTGACTGCACCACTAAGCTTGGTGTCCCAATATCCCCCAATGCTTTAGGATTTATCTGAGAGTTAGTTATTAGTTTCATCTTCCTCCTTACACTCCTGCAAAATAGAAACCAGCAAACCCCCTAGACTTATTCCCCTCTCTCATAAGCAAATTTGAAGCTCTGGGGGAAAAATTGTCAGAAATAGAGCTTTCAGCCAGACCTCACCATGTTTATGCTGAAGCAGTCTATTCCAAGACTGCAGAAAGTGTTGTTGACTGATTTATTAGTATAGATCAGCTTGGCTGTCATTCAATGGCTCCAGTCTGCCTGGGTGCTGTGTCTGAGATGACCAAACTGACCTTAAGCTGGAGGATGAGTCAGAAAGCAGGGCGCGGATTTGCGTGGCTTACAGCTGAGAGTCCAAGCAGGGGCGGGTCTTACAGGGAATTGAAACCAACTTGTACAAACTGAAATTCCCTAGCCTTAGCTGCAATACTCCTTCCTGACAAGGCAAGGAACTCCTGAAGCAATGTCTGGGGTTGGAGGATGGAGGGAAGGCAGTAGGTACAGGATGGCAGATACCTCCAGTACCCCATTTTCCTCTCGAGGTTACCTCTGGGATGGCAACAATAAAGCAGAGGAGGCTGAAAACCCTCAGCAGCTGACAACACCTGTAGAGGAGCGAAGTGGCCAAGCATCAGCCTACCAACAACAGCAAGAGCAGCAGTAAGTAACAAGGAGCCTGACTGAGATGGTGTTATGTGTATCAGGTCCCTGTTCTCCACCTTGCTTGAGGTGTGCACCTTCAGTGGCAGAAATACTTTATAGAGAGCCTGTAAGTGGGACTTCGCACACAAGGAGTTTGTCCTCCTGCTCTCAGAGCCACCTGCAGTCAGCCTGAAGCCTACTTACGAATGATGCTTCCTGCATGGGACCTGAACTGTTCTGGCAGACTTTGTGATGGCGTGGCTTACACCTCATGAGATAGCAGTGGCTGGTTCTGTACGTTTGGTGTTGCCGTATGTGGTGTCAGTTTCTTGGCATCTTTTTTCAAAGTGAAATTTCAAATCTGGTGCTAGCTCTGTGTTTTCTGTCTCCTAATATTTCATTCTGGAAAGTCTAAAAATACTTCCTTTGGCTTAAGAGATGGATATAGGCTGTATTCCAGCACTAATCTGAAGGCATTCCAGGACACAGAAAAGCTTCCAACAACTTCATGCTGACAAAAGTAAAGCCAGAGCTTCAGCTCTCAGTTTTATTTTAGGTTTCACTGAGGTCTCTACTGAATCCATCTCTGGTTTTCCAGTGACAATTCTTAGATAGTTGGTATAAACTCTAACTTGCAGATACAATACAGAATAGAAACTGAGAGTAGCGTGTGTGTATTTTATGCATGTGCTTAATATATATATGCTTAGCTGACCAAAGTGACTTGTTTACAGTCTTTTTCTCCAAGTGTGCTTTTTCTGAGCTGTTAGTAACAGTGCATGTAATGCTGTTATTATTACGTGCTGAGTTTGCTTAGCTTGTCTTTTTTTCCCTCACCTTTCAACGTGCAGCTGAGGGAAACTGAAGGCTGTTTCAGTTTCCTTTCCCTTCTTTCTGGATGAATAAGGTGGAGCCGAACTGTGAGAGGTGGCAGGCTGCTGATCGCAAGCAGCAATCAGCAGCTTTCCATTGTAACCCATAATTGCTTGCCTACTAGGTATTAATGATACGGGGACTATTAAGAGCTGGGTAGCTTTGAAGTCTGTCAGCGCTTTAATGACTGACTTTCAGGAGAGCAACCATTCCTGAGTTACAGTCTATATTTATTTTCTTCCACTTGCAACCATGAAAGACCCTCTGTCTTGCCTGTCCTCACCCTGGCATACATCCACAGTACAGTGAGAGAAGCCCTGGTTAGCTTACATACTTGTGCTATGTGCATTTTTTTCTTTTTTTTTTCCCTTCTTTTTTTTTTTTTGGTGGGGGGGAAGGGGGTAGGAATAGTGGGAGTTTTTGCTCGGATTTAGTCTGGGTTACAAAACCCCTTGGGTATAGGTTAGGTAAATACTTAATCAGGTAGTTGACCTGAGCTCCCTGCAGAATTTAAGGTAGAGCAAGTATATTCACACAGATTATCACCAGATGATGAAATCCCCCTTAAAGCTTTTGGGGAAGAATAATTTAAAGCCCTGTTCCTTTTTTCATCTTTGTACGACGCTTGCAGAGAGAAAGCTTTTGTGCATCTACTGCAAGGGCTGTGCACTTAATATTTTTTGCTATGTGATAGGGAAGATTCTCTCTCTGTCTTCATAAAGCTGTAACAAAGAATTCATTCCTAGGCCTAGAGCACACAAATTAAAGTCTGCATTAGTATGTAGTTAGTGAGGAGGAGGGACGTGGGAAAGGCAGGCTCAAACATTAACCATGTAAAATGAATGGGAAACAAATACTCAAAAGAAATGAACCAGGCTGAGGTTTGCTCCCTTCCCTTGAGGAGGGGTATGCTAGCCATCAGTTTGAAGGAGATGAAGCCACTTAAACTGTGGTTTTCTTAATTAGCCCAGATTAAAGTGGTAGAAGGTCTCTGAAATGCTGAAGCAGAAAAGGGGAGGTCTATTCTTAAAACAAAAAATAACTGTTACATTCATTGTTATATCTTTTTTTCTGTTATTCCAAGTTATGTTTCAAGAAAGGTCTCAGACTAAAATACCATTTCAGCAATGATAAAGCTGACTCGGCCTTTTAACCGTCAATCCTTCTGAACACAATCCTTAAAACTGAAATACTGGGACGCTCTCAGAATAGCCCAGGTTTTCAGGCTCTAGTATAACCAGGGTTGAACAGAGCAGTTTCAGAGCTAAAGTCACAGACATCCAGTAGAAGAAAAAATGCACAGACTAGCATTAACCTAGAAGGCTTTCTGGAATATGCGTAGCAGAGGGAACATGAGGGGCTCAGGTGGGATACCTCTGTGCCAAGGAGTGGCTCTACTCCAGCTTGTGTGCTGCTTGCTATTTTCTGGAAACAGCCAGGCCATGGTTTTGCTGCCAGCAAAGCAGGAGTTGGGTTCTCTGTTGAAGCCTCAGAGTACGTGTGCGAGTTGTTTCCATGCAAACTCTCCATCTCAGGCTGTGCTTCAGAGCAGTTGGGAGTGGGAAAACACCTTAGCAGCATCTTGGGGTGAGATCAGATGACCTTTCATGTAGAGTGGACACATGAAATATGTGTAGGACATGGCATGTTGTAGTCTCATCTAGTCTAGTTAATATTCAAACTTGACTATTAAAAAGTACAAGGTGGGCAACTGGTATTAGACTGTAATTTTTTTGCTGCTGTGGAAAAGCCCTTAAACACTATGTTGAGGCTGAGAAGTGATAATAAAATGCTCCTAATTAAGTTAAGAAAAATACTTGTTCAAATACAAAATTGAAATTAAACTTTGCAGATCCCCCTCCAGTTATATATAGGATGTGGTTTCAGACCATGAAGAAAAAAATCACCACAATGACAAGTGCTTGAAACTGCTTATAATAATAAGCTTGCATTTAAGTTACTTCACTTTGTCTGGTAAGTGCCATGAAATTAACTTGTAGAAAGTGAATTCCCAAATTGCCCCTGTTCACATCTATTCAGAAACAAAAGTCTGTACAGAAGAAAAGGTGGAGGAAAGTGGGGAAATTAAAGGCTGAAATGTAGCTAGTGCCTGAAAAAGAAAATGCTGCCCCCAATCAGCAGTCTGTCCTTGGTACCTTTAAAGCTGGCAAGAATAATATTGGTTCTTGTAAAATCCATTAAAAAATCAAATTCAAAATAATAAAATCTGAAGCTATATTGTCGCACAGCTGGTAGCAGTCCCTCATCGTTTTATGTGAAAGGCGAACAGAGTTTCTAGAATGCTTGACTCGCAAATTGTATTCTTTGACTGCAGGAGCCAAATCCATCAGGGTTTTCTTTCCTTCCTTTCCCAATACTCATCCTGAATTTAAAAAAGATAGAATATCCATAGTGCTGTAAGACCTCTCAGTTTTTTGCTGATAGAGTATACTTAGCAGTACTGAAAATTTTATTTTCTTTCGCAATCTGAAATTTTTTTAAAAAAACACTGAATTAGTCTGTTAAACTGGAGATGGATGTTTAGCAAAATGCATGCTTTTCCCACTGCCCTGCCACTTGTGGGAGGGCCAGAAGGGTAATTTGAATTATGGACCATTTGTTTAGAGTTGAGCTCTGCATTTGCTGCACAGGAGAAATCTCCCAACTTTCTGTCTTTTCAGGCTGATGGACTAATCTTTACAGCCCAGCAGGGCAACTCAGAGATGCCCGGCTTTGATGTGGTCTGTAGCTAGCCAAATGTTTTGTGTCTGAGTCTGTGTAAAGGATAACTGTGCAGCACGATTTCTGTTGCTCTGGATGATGGGGGGTTGCTGTGTTCCTCATAATGTGCGTGCATGGGGGGGAAGGAAGTCCTTTTAACTACTGCATCAGAAGGCTTTATTGGAAGAGCTTAGTTTGCACAAGCCCTGACATGTTCCCCTGATGCATAGCTTGATGAGGGGCTGTGGTGACACGATGAATAAGGAACAAACATATGGGAGGATACTCTGGGCAGGGGCAATAAAAGGACAACAAATACTGTGGTGCAGAGGCAAAGGAGGAGGAAATATATTGTTGAAGGGGAAGGGGGGGAAGCAGAGATGAACACGCCACTAACTTAGGTCTTCATCTTCATGTGAAACAGCATCTGACCTGCTCAGGTTTCCAAGCACGCTAGCAAGCCTGACTGGCAGCACACGGCTGCCTCTGCAGGGAGTAGCTGGGCTCAGTGCTGGCATTGCCAAGCCCAGTGCCTGGCCTGCCCGTGGATAGATGCTCTGTGCTCCTCATGGCTAGTGACTACCAGGTGCTCCAGCTGGCTCTGGTGCGCTCACTGTGTCCCTGGCGCTGTGCTGCGCTGAGGTAACTAAGCTGCTTTGGGACCTGGGGACAGCATAATCATAGCTACGTCTGACTTCTTTGCTGGGTCCAGTGGTAGCCTGCCGCACTGCCGCAGCGAACTCCCTGCCTTTGGTGTAGCCTGCCCGCAAGCAGTTCCTGTTTTCAGGGAAGAGAACTGTGCTGTGAGCCGAGTTTGGGCTGAGAGCTACCCCTTGTCTCACTGATTTGATCCATCATTGTGACAATTTCCTTGGAGCTTTCCTTGGAGAGGGTGGATGAGATCTTCCAGCACCGATGTGATTACTGCATCAAACGAGGTGCTGGCTGAAGCATCTGCTGTTGTTTCCACTTTGCAGTTGCATGCTGAGCCCAAACCAAGCTGCTGCATCTGAGCCCCATCTTAACTCCTGGAAATTCAGTTCTAAGTTTCAGTTTTACTCTTTGGACCAAATTTTAATTTTAGGAACTTCTCTACAAGCTTCCTGCACGTGGTCAAGGCAATCCCAAGCACAAATACAGTCTGGGTGGAGAATGGGTAGAGAGCAGCCCTGGGGAGAAGGACTTGGGGGTATTGGTGGATGAGAAGCTGAACATGAGCCGCCAGTGTGCTCTTGCAGCCCAGAAAGCCAACCGTGTCCTGGGCTGCATCAAAAGAAGCATTAGCAGCAGGTCGAAGGAGGTGATTCTCCCCCTCTACTCTGCTCTCGTGAGACCCCACCTGGAGTACTGTGTTCAGATGTGGGGCCTCCAACATAAAAAATACCTGGACCTGTTGGAGTCAGTCCAGAGGAGGACCATGAAATGATCAGAGGGCTGGAGCACCTCTCCTATGAGAACAGGCTGAGAGAATTGGGGTTGTTCAGCCTGGAGAAAAGAAGGCTCTGAGGAGACCTAGTAGCACCCTACCAGTACCTGAAGGGGACCTACAGGAGAGATGGGGAGGCACTCTTCATCAGGGAGTGTAGTGATAGGGTGAGGGGTAACAGTTTTAAGCTGAAAGAGGGTAGATTTAAACTAGACATTAGGAAGAAATTTTTCACTGTGAGGGTGGTGAGTCACTGGAACAGGTTGCCCAGAGAAGCTGTGGATGCCCCATCCCTGGAGGTGTTCAAGGCTTGGTTGGATGGGGCTTTGAGCAACCTGGTCTAGTGGAGGGTGTCCCTGCCCATGGCAGGGGGGTTGGAACTTGATGATCTTTAAGGTCCTTTCCAACCCAAACCATTCTATGATTCTATGATTCTGGGCACCGGAGAGTTGAGATTTGGGTGCCAACAGCATAACTGCAGGTCTGTTGCTTTCCTGCTTGTTTCTGGTATGTACCTTCTCCTGGGCCTCTCTCTGCTGCTGTTTTCCTTCTCCCTCTTTCCTCCTGCAAGTTCACTTCTGCAGGATTTAACTCATTGTTTTGTCTTAAGTCCTCACTATGGCAAAAATGTTGGCCATTTAATGAAAGCTTTATCTAACCAGAGGGACCAGATTCAGAAGTTACCCTGGCTTAATAAGCTTCCAGACATCAGCTGAACTGTGGTAATTAAGTGCACTCCTAGCCTGTGGCAAACACAGGGCAAAATCCATGAACATAGACTTTTGATAATAAACATTTTCTGCTAAAGGAGTTTATTTTCTGCCTCTTGTGTTAAGAGCATACAAGCAGCTAGGATGAATCAGTGTATAATGTCAGTCCCCACAGTAATTCACTTTTTGTCTCTGAGCTGTAAACTGGTAAGATGCTGCCACTGATAAAGATGGAAAGCCAGAGCCCCAAGCCTGCATGCAAGGTTTGTACACCCTCCCAGAGCTCTGCTTACAGCACCGCCAGGGCACAGATCATATTGCTCAACTGAAGTCTAGAACTGTGTCTGTTGGTTATTGCTATCATCAGGCCATGTGCGCATTGTGAAATAGGGATACCTACAGGACACTTGTTGTCTGCATGCTGGGATTTGGCATCTTGTAGCCCACTGATTTGTCAGCTTCTGTGGTGCTTAGCAGCATATGGCTACTCCATCAGGAATGGAAGCCTTGGTGAAAATAACATTTTGTGGTGGCATTGACTTCTCTTAAACAATTCCTGATAATTCATAGAATAATAGAATTGTTTGGGTTGGAAGGAACCTTAAAAATAATTTAGTTCTGACCCTCTTGCCATGGGCAGGGACCCCTTCCACTAGACCAGGTTGCTCAAACCTGATCCACCCTGGCCTTGAACCCCTCCAGGGGTGGGGCATCCTCAGTTTCTCTGGGCAGCCTCTTCCAGTGTCTCACCACCCTCACAGTAAAAAATTTCTTCCCAATATCTAGTCTAAATTTACCCTCTTTCAGCTTAAAACTGTTACCCTGTTACCCCTCATCATATCACTACAGTCCTCAATTGCCTCCCCAGTTGAATGCAAAGTTTAGCTTAGCATATCTTTGAAGGAGATTCAACTATTGTCTTTGGCAGTTTGCTCTCTTTTCGCTTTTAAATTCAGTCTTAATATATTATTTAATGCAGTATCCAGGTTGGATGAGGCTCTGAGCAATCTGGTCTAGTGGAAGGTGTCCCTGCCCATGGCAGGGGGCTTGGAACTAGGTGATCTTTAAGGTCACTTCCAACCTTAATGATTCTATGATTCTGTGATTCTATTATTTCACCCATATCTTCCCTTGACTCCTTCCTCCAGACTGAACCTGCCCAGATCTTTTTCTCAATCTTTAGTTATTTGTGTTGGTCTCCAATTGCACTCTTCTTGGGTTCTGTCTCTTACAGAGGGCACATGTTCAGCAAAGCGAAATATTTAGCTTTCAGCTTTGTAGCATTCATGTACAAATGCACCCACAGTATAAAACTCAGTGGAACTGGAAATAGTTTATAACAGCCATTACTTTTGTAACTCTTTAAACTATTTCACACTTCATTTGGAAAGCTCCCCAGTGGTAGATGGCTGGAGCAGGCTTGAGGAAAAACTGAACTGTGCAAAAAACATTATTGGTGAATGGCTGGTCTTATGTGTTTTTTCAATTTTAGAAATAAACTATTTATACAAACCTGAAAGAAAATGTAACAAAGGATTCTATGGTCTGTACCCTGAAAGCATTGAAGAGGTGTCATTGAGTTAGATGAGTAGAGTTACATGCAGGATTCAGAATTTAAGATTGTAGACGTGGTGTTCTCTGTTGCTGATCACTCAAGCTGTAAACTGTCTTTACAGATTTTCTATGACTGTATTGCATGTATCTCCTGATTGAAATGTTTCTATATCTATCTATTTATATGTAGTTATAGAGGTGTTTTTCTTCCCACTACAGTGGTATTTGATGTCTGTCTTTTTGAAAAATCATATGAGGTTGCTTTTTGTTTTTACTTAAATAGATACATCCTCTTACTGGGTTATATCTTTCTTGCTCTCACTAATATCTGTTCAGTCTGTGTAATTAGTCAATGCATTGCCATCTTCTGTGGAGAAAATAAACCAAGGAAAATCTCATCAAGATTAATATGATCTATAAAGTAGAAGAAGATTTGTTTCTCTTTTTCAAAGAGCTATAACCTGAGTAAGATGTTCTCCCCTCATCCCCCGGTGACTTCTGTATTTTTATTTATAAAACAACCCAACATCAAAAGTAGGCTTAAGTCATATAGCAATAAGAATCATTATTAGGGAACCAGAAAAGTTAAATTATTTATCATGTTTTCTGGTTCTGGATTTTGAAGTACTTCATATATTAGTATAAAGTACAAAAAGTCTGCACATCCCTGATAGCTTCAAATCTTTCCATTTCCCTTAATTGCTACACAGGTAAGTAGGATAATTTGCTCCAGACTTATGGCTACTGTGGCAACTCAGAAACTGACTGGAATATTAAAATGACAGGCTATAGCGGGTTTTATAAGCTTTACTGGATCAGCGGTTTTGGCTGAACATAGACATGACATGCAATATCCTGCAAACTGGCTAAAAACACGAGGTGAAAGCTGGTGGGGGGTTTTTGCATTAACTTTCTTTCCTTCAAAACAAATCTCAAGAAAATAAGGGACTCTAGGTGCGGATTTTAATTTTAGCATTAGAACTGGCAGGGCAGGTGGAGTCTCTCAGGCAACAGTTCATCTGGTGCCTCTCTTGAAAAGCAAGGACCAGCTCATACCCTGACTTTCACCAACCCCACAAGAAGCTTACTGTG